CATTGTCTATTGCATTTAGAGTCTATAGGGGTCTATCAGTTCTCTACGTGTCATCATGTTGTGGATTGGAAGCGCCTCCTTCCCTACTAACCCCTCCCATTGTCTATTGCCTCCTGACATCCTATGTTCTTGCAGCCCCCTTTCTACTGTGCCTCTCATGTACAATGCTGCCGACATCTCCGTGTGCCGTAACGGGCACTTGCACGCTGTGAAAAAACTTCAAAAAAGGCAAAGGGGGAGTTATACTCCTGTTCATTTTTCTTCAGATCTTCAGCTTATTTTTTATTTGTTCTCTTATGATGTTCATTCATATGCATTTGCTTGTAGTACACAAGGGGGGGGAGGAAGGAAAGGGGTAGGGGGAGGAGTGCTATAGGAAGCAAGAGGTGGGGGGGGGGGGGAAGGGGGAGAGGGAAGTGGTGACAAAGAAACAAACAGAGGTGCAACAAACTTGTGGATGTGTGTGTGTGTGTGTGTGTGTGTGTGTGTTTCAAGATGTGGTGGTTCTACCATCCCTGCCCCCATGGCATCGCACCCAATCTACATGAGACTACATCTGACTCATATGGTATCACACCCGACCTGCATAGTAGTACTGTATGCTACACCAATAGACATAATACCATAGCCGACCCACAAACTGAAAAGTTGTGCCGCGGACACATCTCCATTCTGCCGCAAGCAAAGCTGCGGCTGGCAACCACTTGTACTCATAAGGGAAGGACTGACGGCCGTCACTAATGTCTTCTCCTTATTAATTTCTTGTTTTTCGGATGTCTTTTTCTGGAGTTAAAAAAAAAGAAGCCACATGGGTTGTCTTTATCTTCTGCACATCTCCACGGATATGCGCACCTGAAGAAAGTCTTGCAAATCTTTCCTGGACCCTCGTGCTTCAAGTGTGCCAGTTGTTTCCCCTCCAAGGCTAATCTTTCTCCATTTTTGTTCTAGTCAATGCTCACACTGGAGCTTCGTCATATGGAAATGCACGAGTATTTTGCTATTTTGTATCTTTCTGTCTGACGTTTGACTTGGAGTGCCAAGCGATGCTTTGGAAATCCCATCGACCACTGAAGCTGCAAAAGGTTTCCGGAGCCGCTTACTCTCCAGAAGCCTTTGCTTCTTGTCATTCATAATGTTGAGATAACCCCATGTACTGGCATGCAGTTGTGATTGCCACACAGGTCATCAAAGGACAGTGAACACTCCTTTTTCCTCCTTCACATGTCCGGGTGCTGCTCACTGAAGTCAAAAAGGAAATGGGGCGACACCCCTCTAAGGCCTGATGGCATTTTGGAAAGGAAACACCAATTGACGAAATCCCTTTTGGCAAGTCACCATGTGATTTTGTATGTGGCTCAGTGCCATACAGTCTGGACTCTGAAGTGATCTTTTCTCCAAATAATACAATTGAAGTGATATTGTATGGTACTCCTTGGAATCCGGTTAATGAGTACCATGCGTGTGTCATTCTTGTATTCATCTTTGACTGGCCGGGGGAATATGAACCGGACTGTCACTCCCCGGAATGGTATGCGCCAGAACCAGAAGGTTCTTTTTTTTTTTTTTTTTTTAAGTGATATTGTATGTTTCGTTTACCATTTATCGCTTTTTAAATTCTTAATATCATTCAACTGAATGCACAGTAAAGCATGTGCTGAGAGTGATGAGCATATGTTTCCTGAGTTGCAGATCTTACCCTCGAATATGATATAGAATTGAATGCCCAGTAAACCATGTTGTGCTGAGAGTGCTGACATCATCCGTTTTGTGACCTGCAGATCAAGCGGAAGTGCAGATAATTTCATACAAATCTTTCGTTTCCTCCGGATCATCCGGTAAGTAAACTTTCTTGCTCCCTTTATCAGTAAGTTTTAGATTGTCTGATTCCTTTTGTCTTTCAATAAAGGGCAATGGGCTTTAGGTATCATTCAATGGATCGTCCCCAGGTAAATTAAGAGTTAACCTCAGTTAGTAAATCATCTATTAATCTAATCCCCCTAACTAAGCTTCTGTCCTTCCAAGCGATTCTAAGAAAATGTCAAGTATTTTCATTCTCTGTCCCACATCTCTACCTTCATTGTATATGCACCTGGTAATTATTCGGCCATTGCTCATGCCTCTGACCACTGGCAGGTGTGGGAGAACGGCACCTGCAATCATACTCGACTTATTCACACTTCATCATGCTTGCAAACAGCGATACAGCGAACTGGCGACATGCACCCACACAGTACTCAAAGATATCGTAACCAGATATGAGTTCTCTTCCAACTGGCTATGGCGACTGTGCGCCCATACAACTCACTGTTCACACTCGAGATCCCCCTGGATGTCCCACACGAGACACTCAATGTTCATACACAACACACACACACTAGGCTATGGCTATGGCAGCACTAGCTGCCACTACCCTATCGCTACACTACACTTCTCTGCCCACTTCGTCTTCGGGCACACTGCAGACCTCCTCGCACAAGCTGCTGAGGCAGCGC